TAAAGAATATAAGGGATGGTGTTCTTAAATCAGCTTCCTCTCTGGAATTCATTGTTCTGCCAGCAGTGACTAATGAGTGTGCTAAGGGCTTTCAAGCTCACTTTAATCATAGCTCCGAGCACTATTACTAAGCAACAGCTACTTGGGGGTGTCTCAAGAGAAGGCGGATCTAGTATTGTTCAGTAAAAGGTGTCTTCTTCCTCTTAAGGAGCCTTGTGTTTAAACAACATGCATTATAGCATTTGTGTTGAACAGAACACTAATGATATCATATCCAATTATATGGCCAATAAAGGGTATGTGAGGTATGCCATGACCTGATTATTCTATTTACATTTACATTTACGTCATTTAGCAGACGCTCTTATCCAGAGCGACTTACAAATAGGTGCATTCACCTTATAGCCAGTGGGATAACCACTTTAGAATTTTATTTTGTATTTATTATTTTTTCTATTTTTTTTCTTTTTTTCTTATTTTTGTTTGTTTGTTTGTTTGCTGAGCGGGAACTATGCTTCCGCAGAGGTAGGGGAGCCAGCAGGCCAGAGGTGGATGAACGCAGTGCCCTCGTTTGGGTGTAGGGACTGATCAGAGCCTGAAGGTACGGAGGTGCCGTTCCCCTCACAGCTCCGTAGGCAAGCACCATGGTCTTGTAGCAGATGCGAGCTTCAACTGGAAGCCAGTGGAGTGTGCGGAGGAGCGGGGTGACGTGAGAGAACTTGGGAAGGTTGAACACCAGACGGGCTGCGGCATTCTGGATGAGTTGTAGTGGTTTAATGGCACAGGCAGGGAGCCCAGCCAACAGCGAGTTGCAGTAATCCAGACGGGAGATGACAAGTGCCTGGATTAGGACCTGTGCCGCTTCCTGTGTAAGGCAGGGTCGTACTCTCCGAATGTTGTAGAGCATGAACCTACAGGATCGGGTCACCGCCTTGATGTTAGCGGAGAACGACAGGGTGTTGTCCAGGGTCACGCCAAGGCTCTTCGCACTCTGGGAGGAGAACACAACGGAGTTGTCAACCGTGATGGCGAGATCATGGAACGGGCAGTCCTTCCTGCCCGTTCCATGACAATTCTATGATGTTGCAGTTGCTCCTCTGGACGGTCTACTAGCCAAATACGTAAACAAATGTTTCCTGGAAACACATTGCCCATGCACCCTTGAGTCATCCAGTCAGCTCTCAGGTAATGAGTCTGAAGCTCCTCTTGTGTACAGCTGTATTCTAAACGAAAATAATAATAATTGTAAGCAAATGGAGAAGAAATGTGTGTTGAGTTCAAAACCCCCAAAAATGAAAATATAAGAATTGTAAACAAAAAACTATTTTCAAACATGTTACCAATACATTTGAAACAATTCAGGTGATGTTAGCGAGCAATCGTCACTTTTGTTTGATCAAATATCCTGTTCTTGCCACTGAAAAGAGAAAGGATATGGACGGCCTATGAAAAGCGATGGGAGAGTCAAGAGAAAGGATATGGACGGCCTGTGAAAAGAGATGGAGAGAGTTAAGAGAAAGGATATGAACGGCCTGTGAAAAGAGATGGAGAGTCAAGAGAAAGGAGATGGACGGCCTCTGAACAGAGATGAAGGGTGGTCCACTGACTTGATTACCGGAGTAGGCGCTAAAGATACAAAATCTACGGAAAAAAATGACAGTTCACACTTTCGTGCTTTGGCCCAGGCTCTACTTCATGCATATAGCTCCTCCAGCTTGCGCTCTTGCTTGTTTCCATGGCAATCGGAGGCACGTGCCTGTGGATAGACTTGTGTGATGCATGCGTCCTTCCTCATGCGGGTCTATGTGAAAAACACCCAAGACAGACTCCCTCATCTCTGTGGTGCCGTACTGTCAGGGGTTTTAGGCTGGGTTTCTGTATAGCACTTTGTGAAATCTGCAGATGTAAAAAGGCCTTTATAAATAAAATTGGATTGATTGAAGGACACCTGTAGAAGACTGCAACACAGAGGATATGCAGCGATCTGAAATAATTACTAGGCAGCTAGAAGCTGTAGGTTCTGTTATATTGCTTGCACCCATCCATAATCATCAGATCAGTGTAGATTAAGGAAAGGAAGACACTTTACAATACAGTATGCTGTCAAGGGCTTTACCAAAGATAAGCTGACTACCAACTACTGCATGGTAGAAAATGAAGGACGTCTAGACACTGACCTTCCTAAAATCATGATGAAAAGCATTTTATAATCATGCTTCCATTACAGCGGTCTACATTAGGTTCAATCAAAAAATGTATCATTCAGCAATCTATACGTCTAGAATGTTGATTACTACCTTCCAGTTATATATCCCCTTTGGCATTCCCCTTTGAAAGCAGCAAATCACGTTCCATCTGGCACACACAATCCAGATAATGTAGTATTATCCAAGCCAATCAACATCGGAGCAGTTTATCACTGTTCATGGTAACATGATGGAGGGCTAAAAATGATTTTATTTACTTCTGGCATAGTCTAAAGAGAAAATCCTTTACAGATTTCAGTCTATTTTGCTGTTCAACATTAGGGAATACTCCCCTCTCACGGTGGTGATGATTCGGAAAGTATTCAGACCCCTTCACTTTTTCCACATTGTTACGTTACAGCCTTATTCTAAAATGGATTTTTAAAATGACAAAGCGAAAACAGTTTTTTTTTTGGTGCGAATTTATTACGAATAAAAAAACAAATACCTTATTTACATAAGTATTCAGACCCTTTGCTATGAGACTCGAAATTGAGCTCAGGTGCATCCTGTTTCCATTGATCATCCTTGAGATGTTTCTACAACTTGATTGGAGTCCACCTGTGGTAAATTAATTTGATTGGACATGAGGTCCCACAGTTGACAGTGAATGTCAGAGCAAAAACCAAGCCATGAGGTCGAAGGAATTGTCCTTAGAGCTCCAAGACAGGATTGTGTCAAGGCACAGATCTGGGGACGTTTTTGCAGCATTGAAGGTCCCCAAGAACACAGTAGCCTCCATCATTCTTAAATGGAAGAAGTTTGGAACCACCAAGAATCTTCCTAGAGCTGGCCACCTGGCAAAACTGAGCAATTGGGGGAGAAGGGTCTTGGTCAGGGAGGTGACCAAGAACCCGATGGTCACTCTGACAGAGCTCCAGAGTTCCTCTGTGGAGATGGGAGAACCTTCCAGAAGGACAACCATCTCTGCAGCACTCCACCAATCAGGCCTTTATGGTAAAGTGGCCAGACGGAAGCCACTCCTCAGTAAAAGGCACATGACAGCCCGCTTGGAGTTTGCCAAAAGGCACCTAAATGACTCTCAGACCATGAGAAACAAGATTCTCTGGTCTGATGAAACCAAGATTGAACTCTTTGGCCTGAATGCCAAGCGTCACATCTGGAGGAAACCTAGCACCATCCCTACAGTGAAGCATGGTGGTGGCAGCATCATGCTGTGGGGATGTTTTTCAGCGGCAGGGACACGGAGACTACGTCTCTGGAGAGACCTGAAAATAGCTGTACAGCGACACTCCCCATCCAACCTGACAGAGCTTGAGAGGATCTGCAGAGAAGAATGGGAGAAACTCCCCAAATACAGGTGTGCAAAGCTTGTTGCGTCATACACAAGACAACTCGAGGCTGTAATCACTGCCAAAGGTGCTTCAACAAAGTACTGAGTAAAGGGTCTGAATACTTATGTAAATGTGATATTTCAGTTTTTTATTTTTAATACATTTGCTAAAATTTCTAAAAACCTGTTTTTGCTTTGTCATTATGGGGTTATTGTGTGTAGATTGATGAGGGGGGGGAAAAAACTATTTAATCAATTTTAGAATAAGGCTGTAACGTAATAAAATGTAGAAAAAGTCAAGTGGTCTGAATACTTTCCGAATGCACTGAATATGTATATTTTTTTACTGACAAATAAAAGCAATCAATCAATCCAAACTGTGCAGCGGCCAATTGATGAATGGAAAGCGACATCTGTTACAAAACACCAAAAAGTTGAATGACATTATTCAGAGATTGTTAAGCCTTCTATACTGGGTAAGACTACAAGGTAGGGAGGGATGTATGTTCTGTTTGTCCAGATTGACACAGTCTATTTATTGTGGTGTGAAAACGCAAACCATGATATTGAAGTGCCCGAAGTCAGTATGCTTTGTTTATTGTTTGTGTGGTGCATTGGCACAGAAACCAGTTGTTGGAAAATTTGTTGCATACCGACTTCGGGCACTTTTATATAATTATAAACATGGCATCAAAATGTTGAAAATCGGATTTCCCCCTAGCTGATCAGTGTCTGCAGCCGGCTCTGATCGTAGTGTAATGAAACAGGCAGGGAGAGTGAGCTCGTCTGTGGTAGCGGTGAACCCTCAACCTTCTGGCCCATAGCCCTGCGTGGAATCGACTGTGCCACAAAAGCATACAGAAGTGGCAAAGTTGATATCCACGTTTATAAACACAGGGTCGCTACGGTTATTGTTATTCGTTGTTAATTCTAGGGTGTTCAATTTATTTTATGACACCTTTAGTTGGACTAGCCCCTCCCCACCAGTAAATTTCGATCTGTCCCTAATACAAGTTTCATGTGCAGTTGTTCCCAGTATTGTGTGTTACCAATGGAGGGCGCCAGTGGTCTGTGTATCTTTCGTTTCAGTAGAATGAAGAAGATACAGTAGCCTGGATGAGGCAGTGATTTAGGACTACTAAGGATAAATATCTAGCTTCTGTGAATTTTGAAGTGACATAAATAACGATAGTTTCCACCTCTTAAATATCATGTTGACTATAAGCCCAAAAGACACAAACTAAGTTACATTCCAAGAGAGGCTGAGTTTAACTAATCCATGAAATTATTTATTACATTACATTTACATTTACATTTTAGTCATTTAGCAGACGCTCTTATCCAGAGCGACTTACAGGAGCAAATTACCTCACTGAGGACTTAATTTGAATGTTAATTCAAATGACACATCCTGCAAAGGAATTTACTGCAAATAATAGACCACTCACAACACTACCACACTAGGTGGGTATCAGATATTTCTTAGTCTAAATGGGTAAGACTGTTGAGAAAGCACTTTGTAAGACAATTGTGTTTGGGGCAGCTGATCTACAGTATTTAATTATGAATTTATTTCTAGATTTCTGGACATTCATTGGCCGCTTTGGAGAGCATTAAATCGGCGATGCATTGTGGGTAAATCAGTACTAACTGACTGATCTACAAATAATAATGAGTAGTTAGGTGATTTGTAGATCAGTCAGCTGGCAGTTTCCAACTGCAATGCAGTCGATGTGGCACAAGCCCATTCACTCTTCAGTCCCAGACGTCTTCTTCTGAGAGAGGACCAGATCCTTTACTTCGCTGGTCAGGGAGACCAGCTCCTTCCGGATGGCCTCTGCCTCGTCCCCCTCCTCTGGGTTCTCTCCCTCCCCCTGCTCCTGCTTTTTCCCCTGGCTCTGGCTCACCAGCTGCTTAACCACCAGACCCTGGTAGCCCGTCAGCAGCCTGTGCTGCTCCTGGAACACAACAACCACACCCATCCAAAAGCTTCAGTATGATGTCATCTTAAAAACGGTGTCAATTGTAAACAGGTCACAATGTAAGTGTTGCAGAAAAAGATCACCATAGGTCCCCCATAGAGCTAATCGAAAACATCCCAATAACATAAAAGGTTGCAAACATACACCATTCTAACTATTACTGGTATAATAACACTAGGAATTTAGTGTAATGTATTATCAATGAGAACCAAGGAGAAAGGGGGCAGTACCTCAGAGACGCGGCCCACCAGAGTCCCTATGATCTGGGGGACACAGCGTCCGGGGGCGTGCAGCATGCAGTGGGTGCTGGCCTGGAAGAGCAGCACACTGGTCAGGTGGAGAATCAAGGCTGGGTCCTCCGTCTCCTTCAGCTGCTCTATCAGAGCCTGCCGGTGCAGGAACAGGGCCTGTCTATAGGAACCAGAACACACACACTGCCCAGTCAGCCAAGAATGTGTAGCACCTCAGACAATGACCCAGGTCCATAGTTATTATAGACAGGTAAATGCTTTGACTTAATTGGTTGCTTTAACCTTTCTCTTTTCTTGTCTCCTTTCTTCAGCATGAATCCACACACCTCAACTGCTGTTTCTATATTGGTTAAAAAATCTTCAATCGTCTGAAAAGAAACAAATATCAATAGTGTCAGAAAAGCTCCATGCATATGATACATATGAGAGAGCAATCTCAAAGTACATTTCTTTGTTTATAACAACAATGATAATGTAGTAACCCTCCAACTGAATGAACATAACTTACTTTTCCATTCAGACTGTTGTGCACTTTCATAAGAGGCCCTTTGGTTTCCTCTGGAAACATTCCTAACATCTTCACTCTGACCTAAAGGGGGATACATTGACAGACATTGTGACATTTGGGAATGTGCAGTACATGGATGAAGCCTCACTAAAGTACTTGACCAACAGCACTGAACAGGCTTGGAATGACAAGCTGAGAGGAGAGCTAACCTCGTTGGTGATAGAGCTGGGATTCTCTGCTGACATCATGAGTTCAGCTGCCATGAAATTCACCAGGATATTGGTGATGTCCGTGCACACCGTCTTCAGGACGTACTTGGCAATGTGGACCTGGGTCTCATCTGTGGGCTCAAATAAGGATTGATCAGTTGATGTTTATGCTGCATTAATAGGTTTTACGTTCAATGAGGATCACCTGTACTTCTGTAGGAGGTAAATTAAAGCTATTTACCAGAGAAGAGCTTGGTCCCTTTCTCAAAGAGCCTGATGTTGTTGTACAGGTTGGAGAGCTCCTCCTGGAAGTCCTTCACACTTCTCTTCTTGGTCACACCGGTCGTGGAGCTAGTGGAGGACATGAACACAGTCCGAACCACCTCCTGGTAGGTCTTAGTCAATGGCCTGCAGACAGAGCAAGAGTCTTGCATGTTAAAACTGACGCATTGATGCACAGTATTTATTTTGTTGGTTGAGTAAAGGGGTTAATACATTGTGCTTGAAAGTGATTGTGACTAATCGTGATCGTGACAGGAATCCCTACCTTACTAAATGCTCCGCCAACTCAGAGAGGATTTCTTCGGGGCAGTCACACACTCTCTCTTCTAGAACAGCGGTGATCTCCTCCAGGCCCATGAAGGGGACTTCAGTCTGTTTGTTACGATCTGCAAAAGAGTGAAAGAAAAATATAATTGGCCTTAAATGGGGGTATTACAGTTCCCTTGGTCTTACACTAACAGGCTTAATCACCCAGGGGAGCAATCTCTTCCAACAACTGTTAAGATCTCATTACAGAGAACTACCTCACCGAACAAACAATGTAATACTGTACCTGAATTGACATACAGTGAGGGAAAAAAGTATTTGATCCCCTGCTGATTTTGTACGTTTGCCCACTGACAAAGAAATGATGAGTCTATAATTTTAATGATAGGTTTATTTGAACAGTGAGAGACAGAATAACAACAAAAAAATCCAGAAAAACGCACGTCAAATATTGTATAAATTGATTTGCATTTTAATGAGGGAAATACGTATTTGACCCCCTCTCAATCAGAAAGATTTCTGGCTCCCAGATGTCTTTTATACAGGTAACGAGCTGAGATTAGGAGCACACTCTTAAAAGGGAGTGCTCCTAATCTCAGATTGTTACCTGTTTAAAAGACACTTGTCCGCAGTAGCAATCAATCAATCAGATTCCAAACTCTCCACCCTGGCCAAGACCAAAGAGCTCTCCAAGGATGTCAGGGACAAGACTGTAGACCTACACAAGGCTGGAATGGGCTACAAGACCATCGCCAAGCAGCTTGGTGAGAAGGTGACAACAGTTGGTGCGATTATTCGCAAATGGAAGAAACACAAAATAACTGTCAATCTCCCTCGGCCTGGGGCTCCATGCAAGATCTCACCTCGTGGAGTTGCAATGATCATGAGAACGGTGAGGAATCAGGCCAGAACTACACGGGAGGATCTTGTCAATGATCTCAAGGCAGCTGGGACCATAGTCAACAAGAAAACAATTGGTAACACACTACGCCGTGAAGGACTGAAATCCTGCAGCGCCCGCAAGGTCCCCCTGCTCAAGAAAGCACATATACATGCCCGTCTGAAGTTTGCCAATGAACATCTGAATGATTCAGAGGAGAACTGGGTGAAAGTGTTGTGGTCAGATGAGACCAAAATGGAGCTCTTTGGCATCAACTCAACTCGCCGTGTTTGGAGGAGGAGGAATGCTGCCTATGACCCCAAGAACACCATCCCCACCGTCAAACATGGAGGTGGAAACATTATGCTTTAGGGGTGGTTTTCTGCTAAGGGCACAGGACAACTTCACCGCATCAAAGGGACGATGGACGGGGCCATGTACTGTCAAATATTGGGTGAGAACCTCCTTCCCTCAACCAGGGCATTGAAAATGGGTCGTGGATGGGTATTCCAGCATGACAATGACCCAAAACACACGGCCAAGGCAACAAAGGAGTGGCTCAAGAAGAAGCACATTAAGGTCCTGGAGTGGCCTAGCCAGTCTCCAGACCTTAATCCCATAGAAAATCTGTGGAGGGAGCTGAAGGTTCGAGTTGCCAAACGTCAGCCTCGAAACCTTAATGACTTGGAGAAGATCTGCAAAGAGGAGTGTGACAAAATCCCTCCTGAGATGTGTGCAAACCTGGTGGCCAACTACAAGAAACGTCTGACCTCTGTGATTGCCAACAAGGGTTTTGCCACCAAGTACTAAGTCATGTTTTGCAGAGGGGTCAAATACTTATTTCCCTCATTAAAATGCAAATCAATTTCTAACATTTTTGACATGCGTTTTTCTGGATTTCTTTGTTGTTATTCTGTCTCTCACTGTTCAAATAAACCTACCATTAAAATTATAGACTGATCATTTCTTTGTCAGTGGGCAAACGTACAAAATCAGCAGGGGATCAAATTCTTTTTTCACTTCACTGTAGGGTTTTATTGTGCAAACCCACAATAACGTTAGCCTGTGATCCAAACTGGAGCCGTGCTACATAGTGAATTCAGTGTGGAACCCAGGCAACATAATGACTGTAGTCATACTTTGTGGGGTGACTGCTGTCTCCTCGTCACTGTCATCGTCCCTCTTGCCCTTCCTCTTGGTTTTGCGTATCCTGACCTCTCTGGCGTTGCATCCTCCACCACCTCCTTTACTGCCGCTGCCCTCTAGGAAGCAAAACAATAACCAATTAATGAACACTCTCCGCGGGGTCTGCAGAAAGCAGATGTTTCCGGTTTTAAGGGATGTAGTATTTTTAACCTAACGTCCATTTCTCCTGAAAAACGGATGTGGGGACGCCGCACAGGCGTATTTTGACACCTGCTACGTTAGGTTAATTAATGAATGACGAGGAACTGACCAGGGGTCAAATCTCTCCAACTACCGAGCAGAAAATACCTAGCCTTAGAAGAGGTTACCATGTCTAGTTGATAACAGATAGACTAACAGATAGGCCTGGCCTGTACTACCTGTAGTCCTTCTCCTCCTCTCTGCCTCCCTCTTCTCCTTTTTGGAGGGGGCTGTATTTTCTGTCATCATAGCGCCTTGCTTGAGATCGTCTTCAGTTATCAGGAAAACAGGGTTGTTCTTGGCTTCCTGAAAGAGAACAGCATGGAATTGATGAAGTGGAAAGGAGACACAGCTATACACTGTGTGTACAACACATTAAGAACATCTTCCTAATATTGAGTTGCACCCCCACCCCCTTTTGCCCTCAGAAAAGCCTCAATTCGTCAGGGCATGGACTCTACAAGGTGTCGAAAGCGTTCCACAGGGATGCTGGCCCATGTTGATCCCAATGATTCCCACAGTTGTGTCAAGTTGGCTGGATGTCCTTTGGGTGGTGGACCATTCTTGATACACACGGGAAACTGTTGCAGGTCTTGACACAAACCGACGCACCTGGCACCTACTATCATACCCTGTTCAAAGGCAAATAAATATTTTGTCTTGCCCATTCACCATCTGAATGGCACACATACACAATCCATGTCTCAATTGTCTCAAGGCTTAAAAATCCTTCTTTATCCTGTCTCCTCCCCTTCATCTACACTGATTGAAGTGGATTTAACAGGTGACATCAATAAGGGATCATAGCTTTCACCTGGATTCACCTGGTCAGTCTGTCATGGAAAGAGCAGGTGTTCTTAATGCTTTGTACATTCAGTTTATATCCATCTCAAAAGACAATGACAATCACAGTTTTGGGCCATCAGGTAACTTCATGACCGGTGTGATTTACCTTCTGAGCTTTATGCTGCATGGTCTCCTCAAAAAGACAGAGACAGTTGCTGATGAACTTCTCGCTGACCACCACGGTGTCTCCCAGGACCCTGGCAGTCGACTGCACGTTGGTCGTTCTCATGGCCTCGTTGATTATGATGCCAACGTCCTCCATGGACAGACAGCTGGGCAGAATGGGCTACATGTCAAAAGCAGGGGAACACATGGCACACTTTAAGTGACTCAAGAAAATGAGATGATTTTATATACAGTACCAGTCAAACGTTTGGACACACCTACTCATTCCAGGGTTTGTCTTTATTTTTACTATTTTCTACATTGTAGAATAATAGTGAAGACATCAAAACTATGAAATAACACATATGGAATCATGTAGAAACCAATTAAATGTTAAACAAATCAAATATATTCTATATTTGAGATTCTTCAAAGTAGCTACCCTTTGCCTTGATGACAGCGTTGCACACTCTTGGCATTGTCTCAACCAGCTTCATGAGGTAGTCACCTGGAATGCATTTCAATTAACAGGTGTGCCTTGTTAAAAGTTAATTTGTGGAATTTATTTCCTTCTTAATGCGTTTGAGCCAATCAGTTATGTTGTGACAAGGTATGGGGGGTATACAGAAGATAGCCCTATTTGGTAAAAGACCAAGTCCATATTATGGCAAGAACAGCTCAAATAAGCAAAGAGAAACGACAGCCCATCATTACTTTAGACATGAAGGTCAGTCAATTCGGAAAATGTCAAGAACTTTGAAAGTTTCTTCAAGTGCAGTCGCAAAAGCCATCAAGCGCTATGATGAAACTGGCTCTCATGAGGACCGCCACAGGAATGGAAGATCCAGAGTGCACAGGATCACCCGACCTCAACCCAATTGAGATGGTTTGGGATGAGTTGGACCGCAGAGTGAAGGAAAAGCAGCCAACGAGTGCTCAGCATATGTGGGAACTCCTTCAAGACTGTTGGAAAAGCATTCCAGGTGAAGCTGGTTGAGAGAATGCCAAGAGTGTGCAAAGCTGTCATCAAGACAAAGGGTGGCTATTTTGAAGAATCTGAAATATAAAATATATTTGGATTTGTTTAACACTTTTTTGGTTACTACATGATTCCATATGTGTTATTTCATAGTTTTGATGTCTTCACTATTATTCTACAAAGACAAACCCTGGAATGAGTAGGTGTGTCCAAACCTTTGACTGGTACTGTATATATACGCACTGTATACTTTAAATGTGACGCAAGCTAGTTACTGAGCAAAATCAACATATTATGCTATAAAGATTTTTTTTTTTTTGGCAGAAAACGATTCATAAAGCAGGTTTGTATGGACCTGTACATCGGCCCATGTGGCAGAGTTGACAGCCTCCTCCACAGAAGCCTCCACCTGGTCTACCAGGGTCTGGCCTACACAGGCTGCCCTAAGGAACAGCAGCTTGCTGGACTTGAAACGCTTCTTGATGTAGCTCACTGGGTCAGGGATGCCAAGTCTGATCAAGGAATCAAACTCTGTGTGGGGGGAACAGAGGAAATATCAGGTTTTAGGCAGAATTCCAGTATGGAAATTATGAAAAAGAAATATTGCAACCAATAATCTTAGTATATCCCATAAATAATTTAAGGTGGGAGTACCTAAGTAGCCGTTCTGCTTGAGGAATGAGTCCACCCAGGCATTCTGTGTTTTGGAGTAGATGTCAGGGATGTAGACAGCTTTGTCCTGCCGGCCCCCCACCACAGTGCCTTTCAGACGGCCAGTATTCACCAGCTCCTCCAAAACAGCTGGGGAACAATGGCCCAAAAGTTAGTTGAACGATAGCATGACATACAACTGAATTTGTTTGATTAGGCCTACTCAAAACATTCTTTGTACTGTATATGAACACACAGATCAAATCACTATACACCCAAAACACACATGGTACAGTGCTGACAATATTCTAACTGTTTGGTCTGAATATTAACACAACAGAAGGAATAGCTACTTACAGTAGAGAAGATGTTCCTGAAAACCATAAATGCCAATCACGTTACCGACTGGTGTTGGCCTACACAAGGAATCAAAGGAATTAAGTATTAGGAGCAGAGCGAAAAAAACGAAGATAGTGTTGGTTAAAAACGCAAGACAAGAAGGGGATCGGTATGGAACATACCAAGTCACTGCACTGAAAAGCCCACGGATGCGAGCTCTGTGGCGAGAGACAAATGCAGGGGTGAATAAGACTCCCCTGTTGTACTCATCCATCTGGCCTTGGATGACTTTCCCAAGGCGCTTCGACAGCTCCTATGAGACACAGCACAGCACACAATCAGACAAAGTGGATAACATTTAAATGTACATTTACATTTTAGTCCTTTAGCAGACACTCCAGAGCGACTTACAGTTAGTGAGTGCATACATTTTCAAACGCCATGCTCTACCAACTGAGCTACACAGGACCATTTCAGATAAGAACTGTGTGTACAGGTCCATACATGCACCTCAAGCTTTAACTCAAGCTGTCAAAAGCCTACTGATATCAAAGGATACACATGATTAATTGCAGATATTTTCTGTCAGTATCACCTCAAATATGAAACAGAGGGGATGGTATTGACAAGAAGACAGAGGGGGCTCTAAACTCATGGTTAGTGCTATGCGGTATCCTTGCGATGTCCCTACCCTAAACACTAACCATTTTGAATTTCAACATAAATGGGGTGACGTCAGAGTTGGGACGTCCCAAGGACCCCGTTTAGACTGTTCCCTTGTCTCACCTCAGTCAGGAAGTCCCCTGGAAGGTCATAGTTTTTACATAGTTCTGGGATGTTCACCAAGCCTGCCTCTTGTAGTTTATCATTCACCTCCTCAGAAACTCGATTCAGGTAGTTTCTTGAAGACAAAGGGAAATCAGAACAAATCTGATAGCCCAGTAGTTGACAGTACTACAATGAAAAATATGTAATGTGAAAAGAGTCTACTTACTCATCGATAAGCTGCCCCAGCACCAGTTGAACGCTTTTATCAGATCTTGCTATGTCATTTGCTCTGGCCTCAACATGGACCCAATCAACGTTGATAATCTGTAAACAATTTTAAAAAAACATTATTGTCAGAAACACTTAACTACAGCGCTACAAACTAGGAAGATGAATTAGTACTGCAGAGTGACACACCTTCTGTAGGTCCACAATGTTGACACGACCTTTGGAAAGCAGAAACACAAGATTAAAAAATATACAGTGGGGAGAACAAGTATTTGATACACTGCCGATTTTGCAGGTTTTCCTACTTATAAAGCATGTAGAGGTCTGTAATTTTTATCATAGGTACACAAAAATCCAGAAAATCACATTGTATGATTTTTAAGTAATTAATTTGCATTTTATTGCATGACATAAGTATTTGATCACCTACCAACCACTAAGAATTCCGGCTCTCACAGACCTGTTAGTTTTTCTTTAAGAAGCCCTCCTGTTCTCCACTCATTACCTGTAATAACTGCACCTGTTTGAACTTGTTACCTGTATAAAAGACACCTGTCCACACACTCAATCAAACAGACTCCAACCTCTCCACAATGGCCAAGACCAGAGAGCTGTGTAAGGACATCAGGGATAATATTGTATACCTGCACAAGGCTGGGATGGGCTACAGGACAATAGGCAAGCAGCTTGGTGAGAAGGCAACAACTGTTGGCGCAATTATTCGAAAATGGAAGAAGTTCAAGATGACGGTCAATCACCCTCGGTCTGGGGCTCCATGCAAGATCTCACCTCGTGGGGCATCAATGATCATGAGGAAGGTGAGGGATCAGCCCAGAACTACACGGCAGGACATGGTCAATGACCTGAAGAGAGCTGGGACCACAGTCTCAAAGAAAACCATTAGTAACACACTACGCTGTCATGGATTAAAATCCTGCAGCGCACGCAAGGTACCCCTGCTCAAGCCAGAGCATGTCCAGGCCCGTCTGAAGTTTGCCAATGACCATCTGGATGATCCAGAGGAGGAATGGGAGAAGGTCATGTGGTCTGATGAGACAAAAATTGAGCTTTTTGGTCTAAACTCCACTCACCGTGTTTGGAGGAAAAAGAAGGATGAGTACAACCCCAAGAACACCATCCCAACCGTGAAGCATGGAGGTGGAAACATCCTTCTTTGGGGATACTTTTCTGCAAAGGGGACAGGACGACTGCACCGTATTGAGGGGAGGATGGATGGGGCCATGTCTCGCGAGATCTTGGCCAACAACCTCCTTCCCTCAGTAAGAGCATTGAAGATGGGTCGTGGCTGGGTCTTCCAGCATGACAACGACCCGAAACACACAGCCAGGGCAACTAAGGAGTGGCTCCGTAAGAAGCATCTCAAGGTCCTGGAGTGGCCTAGCCAGTCTCCAGACCTGAACCCAATAGAAAATCTTTGGAGGGAGCTGAAAGTCCGTATTGCCCAGCGACAGCCCCGAAACCTGAAGGATCTGGAGAAGGTCTGTATGGAGGAGTGGGCCAAAATCCCTGCTGCAGTGTGTGCAAACCTGGTCAAGACCTACAGGAAACGTATGATCTCTGTAATTGCAAACAAAGGTTTCTGTACCAAATATTAAGTTCTGCTTTTCTGATGTATCAAATACTTATGTCATGCAATAAAATGCAAATTAATTACTTAAAAATCATACAATGTGATTTTCTGGATTTTTGTTTTAGATTCCGTCTCTCACAGTTGAAGTGTACCTATGATAAAAATTACAGACCTCTACATGCTTTGTAAGTAGGAAAACCTGCAAAATCGGCAGTGTATCAAATACTTGTTCTCCCCACTGTATATATAACCATAATCATTTAGTATAATATATGCCATTTAACAGATGCTTTTATCCAAAGCGACTTAGTCATGTGTGCGTACATTTTACGTATGGGTCGTCCTGGTAAAAGAACCCACTACCCCGGCGTTGCAAGCACCATGCTCTACCAACTAACTGAACTACAGAGGACCATCTTTTCCATAACCTTTTGCCCATGTCAATAAATGTAGGTGTATGTTAAACCTTGAACATCTATGCAACCATGATCTGAGATGAATGAGTGCAAAACTTTTTTCTTTGACGACAAAGGTAATGGAATCAGAAGAACGTTGTCTAGCCAACTGACCTCCATGGACGTAGAGCTCGTCCCGTATCTCCCTACTGATTTGGGACGGGGTGATGTACTCCTTGCCATCAAGTGTGTGTACCACATCCAACTTCTTCTCTTCAACCAGCTTGGCAACGATTTCAATGCAGTTCCTCTCCGACAACCTGGGAAGGATTTACAGTAGAAGAGGCATTTAGACACAAAGATCCTATAATTTAGTTCTATATGTAATTCTATCCATTTAGTAAGAGGCATTTGAGTCCCCTGGTATATGTCCCGGGATTCATCCGATAGCATTGAAGAGTTTACCACAACAGTCACGGGCTTCATCAATAAGTGCATAGAGGATGGCGTCCCCACAGTGACTATACGAACGTATCCAAAACAAAAACCATGGATTACAGGCAAAATCCCTGCTGAGCTAAAGGCTAGAGTTACCGCTTACAAGGAACGGGACACTGACATGGACGCATACAAGAAAGCACGCTACGACCTCCGACGAGACATCAAATATGCAAAAAGACAATATAGGAGGAAGGTGGAATCCTATTATACCGGCTCCGACGCTCATACGTGGCAAGGCTTGCAGATGATAACGGATTACATAGGGAAACCCAGCCATGAGTTGCCCAGCGATGCAGAACTCCCAAACAAGCAAATGCCTTTCATGCTTGTTTTTCCGGATGACTGTGTGATCTCGCTCTCCGTGGCCGATGTGAGCAACCCTTTAAACAGGTTAACAATCACAAGGCGGAATACCAGGGCGCACTCTCAAAGCATGCGCAGACCAGCTGGCATGTGTCTTCAAGGATATTTTAGATCTCTCCTTGTCCCAGTCTGTAATCCCAACATGATTCAAGATGACCACCATTGTCTCTGTTCCCAAGAGCACCAAGGTAACCAGCCTAAATGACTATCGCCCTGTAGCACTCACAACTGTAATCATGAAGTGCTTTGAAAGGCTGATAATGACACACATCAACACCATCATCCCAGACACCCTAGACCCACTCCAATTCGCATACCGCCCCAACAGATCCACAGATTATGAAATCTCAATTGCACTTCACACCACCCTCTCCCACCTGGACAAGAAGGGAAATAACTATGTGAGAATGCTGTTCATAGACTACAGCTTAGCGTTCAATACCATAGTCCCCTTCAAGCTCATCACCAAGCTAGGGACCCTGGGACTGAACCCCTCCCTCTGCAACTGGATCCTGGACTTCCTGACGAGCCGGCCCCAGTTGTGAGGGTAGGCAACAACGCCTCCGCCACGCTGAACCTCAGCACGGGGGCCCCTTAGGGGTGTGTGCTTAGTCCCCTCCTGTACTCCCTGTAGTGGAGCGGATTGAGAGGGCTGTAGTGGAGCGGATCGAGAGCTTCAAGTTCCTTGGCATCCACATCACTAAGGACTTAACATGGTCCACACACACCTACACAGTCGTGAAGAGGGCACGGCAGCGCCTCTTCCCCATCAGGAAGCTACAAAGATTTGGCATGGGCCCTCAGATCTCAAAAAGTTATACTGCTGCACCATCGAGAGAGCATCTTGACAGGCTGCATCACTGCTTGGTATGGCAAATGCACTGCCCTCGACCAAAAAGCGATACAGAGATTGCTGCGGACAGCCCAGTACATAATTGGGGCCCGAGCTCCCTGCCATCCAGGACCTCTATATCAGGCGGTGTCAGAGAAAGGCCCGATAAATTGCCAAAGACTCCAGCCACCCAAGCCATAGACTATTCACTCTGCTCCCGTCCGGCAAACGGTACTGGAGCATTGGCTCTCGGACCAACAGGCTCCGAGACAGCTTCTACCCCCAATCCATTAGACTGCTAAATAAGTCAATTAATGGTACCCAAACTATCTGCACAACTGACCTTATATTGCACTGACCCTACGCACACTCACTATACTATACAGTGCATTTGGAAAGTATTCAGACCCCTTGATTTTTTCCACATTTTGTTATGTTACAGCCTTATTCTAAAATGGAATACATAGTTTTTTCCCCCTCATCAATCTACACACCATACCCTTTACTCAGTACTTTGTTGAAGGACCTTTGGCAGCGATTACAGCCTCAAGTCTTCTTGGGTATGATGCTACAAGCTTGGCACACCTGTATTTGGGGAGTCTCAGATTCTTCTCTGCAGATCTTCTCAAGCTCTGTCAGGTTGGATGGGGATCTCTCTGTCCTTTGCTCCATTCATATTTCCCTTGATCCTGGCTAGTCTCCCTGCCTCTGAAAAACATCCCCAGAGCATGATGCGGAACTCTGGAGCTCTGTCAGAATGACCATCGGGTTCTTGGTCACCTTCTCCCCCGATTGCTCAGTTTGGCCGGGCGGCCAGCTCTAGGAAGATTCTTGGTGGTTCCAAACTTCTTCCATTTAAGAATGATGGAGGCTACTGTATTCTTGGGGACCTTCAATGCTGCAGAAATGTTTTGGTACCCTTCCCCAGATCTGTGCCTCGACACAATCCTGTCTTGGAGCTCAACGGACAATTCCTTTGACCTCAAGGCTTGGTTTTTGCTCTGACATGCACTGTCAACTGTGGGACCTTATATAGACAGGTGTGTGCCTTTCCAAATCAAGTTTTAGAACACCTACTCATTCAAGGTTTTTCTTTATTTATACTATTTTCTCACTTGTAACTACATCAAAACTACGAAATAACACATATGGAATCATGTAGAAACCAATAAAGAGTTAAACAAATCAAAATATATTTTATATTTGAGATTCTTCAAATTGCCACCCTTTGCTTAAATAAATAAAATACATTTGCAAACATTTCTAAAACCTGTTTTCACTTTGTCATTATGGGATATTGTGTGTAGATTGATGAGAGAGAAAAAACAATTTAACCAATTTTAGAATAAGGCTGTAATGTAACAAAATGTGGAAAAAGTCAAGGGATCTGAATACTCACTCACACCCACTACATTGACATACCCACACACACACAACAACAACACAAATACTTTTACACTCATCATTTTCTGCTACTCTGTTCTTTATATTACTGTTATCTATACTGATGCCTATTCACTTTACCCTGCCTTCATGTACATACTGTATCTACCTGAAATACCTCGTAACTCTGCACATTGATATGGTACTGGTACTCCCTGTATTGCTCCATTCTTGTGTATTTTATTGTATTCCTCATGTTACCATTTTATTTTTAAACTCTGCATCGTTGGGAAGGACTTGTATGTAAGCATTTCACGGTAAAGTTTACACCAGTTGTATTCGGCGCATGTGACAAATACAATTTGATTTTAACAGAGTATTTCAATGGCTAGTTTTAGCAGCTGTTTCCTAAAAAAGGCCAGGGGTTCTGTTACATTACCTAACATACTCTAGTTAGCAGCTAGGGAATACAATATTAGTCCAGCTAAAAACTTCTGCAGGAAGCCCGTAGGCACAGTTATTTAAAAATATTGTATTTATTTATTTGTCATACAAAAAAAATGCACGTAGGCACAGATAGCTAGTTAACGTTAGCTGTCCTACTAACGATAGCTGTCCTGCTGGTTCAGCCCACCACACAACGTTAGTTTCAGCTAGCCAACTCGGACTATAACGCTAGTTCTATGACTACACAGACATAAACAGTCAACAAAGTCATGTATCTATCTAGCTAACTTACTAGCTACACCTGACTATAAAGTTCAGAGAAGCTAGCTAACGACTCGAGTATCGTTAGCTAACGTTAGCTGTTTTGCAATCGCCCGCTGGCATTAGCTACCTCTGCACTGTGTCAGCAAACTGTGCTCTCTGGAAATCCGCTGCCAGACGTCTGATTTCTTCCCAGGCGGCTGCCATCGTATTTGTTGGCTTCCAAAACTATTCAACTACAGCTTTGCATGAGCGATAATCTTCAACTCTATGGCTATATTTATTGCTACTAGCTAAACCATGTTGCGCAAAGTACAGTAACGTTAGCTAGTAGTATAGTGAGTGATCTACACGTCAACATAACGGTAACGTAGAACGGAAAGCCCGAGAGTCCAAAAAGCACCAGAATTTTTCCACCCATTTTTCCCGCAACCCCTCCTCATTCCTCCTGTGTGACGTCACATAATTAAATTCATCATCATCATCATCTGGCAGCTGCACAGCACATCTTTGGGAAAACATCGAACAAACACGCCTTATTATACAGTCAACAAAAAACACAATTCAAGTTTGTACAATGTCACCTATTCACACATTTTATTAGCCTGTTATTATTATAATAGCCTAATTTCATAAAAACTGCTTGAGAGCAAGAAATGCAAGCTAGCTACAAATGGTTTGAGTATCCATTGTTGTAAATTACTCACTGGAAATCAGTCTACAAACAAATTAGCTTATTGAAAAATATGAAAATGTATGATTTCATCCTAATATGCAATGCTGTAGTTTACAGAAGAGATTACAAGGAGGGAAATTCTGCAGCAAAACATGTTGGCAGTCTCCTTACATACATTATACTCCAAAATGATGAGTCCTGGTTATCACACAAGATATCAGGCTATGTTTCATGAGCTACCATAACATTGGTTGAACCACAACATTGCAGAAGAAAATGAGCTATCAACCCCAAAACCAAGTGTCAAGATTATTACAAACGTTATATTCCTTGTGTCTTTTAATGTAATCACAGGCACGACATGTGTGTTCAGCCCAGAAATGGGACCTCTTTACATTGAAATGTCTGCGCCAGTCAAAATACTGCAGATACATTTCTTCATTTGAATGTAACAGTGTGAGTTGGTGAGCTAGCTCTTTTGGGGAGAGGAAATCATCCACATGTATAAAGGCATCTCCAGGCACAAAGTTCTCATAGTTCTGCCTTGGTGGCCCAAGAGCAATTGGCACAGATCCAGCAGCTAGTGGGTTGTACAGCTTTTCAGTGATGTAATCTTTGTGAATTGAGTTCTCAAATGACAGAATTTACAACTGGATATTGTGTTCAGGAAGTCTTGATCACTGATGTGTTCTCTGAAGGCATTTCCATAGGTGTGTATATCGATGTGTTTGACCAATTCATTGTAGTACCTCGCCCTGGCATGGTCAGGGTTCCAGTTGCTCACAATCCAGCAGACCAATTTAGTTTTAATTGGCAATAAGAAAGGTTCCCCCTCCTCTTGGCTGAATACAACTGACCCATAAGGCACTTCAATATCTGCATCTTGCCTATAATTCAAAGTCAAATTGAGAATATTTTCAAGACCTGGCTTTTTATAAGTGTGGGACGGGGACTCTAGATTCATCCACACCCATTTTTGGAAAGGTGGGCGCTGCTGCAATGGTGGTAGATTTGATAAATCACTTTTTATGTCTCTATGATGGATGATGACCCCACTTGACTTATTGTATAGGTCTCGGTCAAATGTTAAAAAACAGCCATCAATATTGAACAGGGTGCTGCATGTGTCCAAATCATAGGAGTGACCAAAAGGCCACAGCCTTAATAGAACTATGGTCTTATTATTAACCTCCTTTGTAATATCTTCAAGATGTTCTTCCTTCTGAATTGGTAATGTTGATGATTCAATGGGTCTTGCAAGCCAGTTACTTGGTGGTTTAAAAAACATGAGTAAAACAGTCACAAAACAGCCTATTGCACTGATGCCAATTACAAGTAGGCGCAGAAAGCTGTACAAAGTTGCCATTGCCATTTTTGTCCTGTGAAATAAAATAAAAACACAAAATCATGTCATAAGTTTGTTTCAAAACAATGTTGATGACATTGCACTATCTAGAACCTAAAAGGGTTCTTCGGCTGTCCCCATAGGAGAACCATTTGAAAAATAATTTTTGGTTCAAGGTAGAACCCTTTTGGTTCCAGGTAGAACCCTGTTGGGTTATATGTAGGACCCTTTTTTCCACAAAGGGTTATATATGGAACCAAAAAGGGTTATCCTATGGGGAATGCCAAAGGACCCTTTTTTCTTATAGTGTGGTTCAATAATGTAACAATGCAGTAAATGTATTGGTTTGGCTCAGTGTGTATATTTTCTCAGGTGATTATGGATTGTTTACCTTATAGCATTTTATATCACAAAAATCTGACACTATCTAATCACAGATGTCCAACATAGGAACATGTCTACATATTTTAGCTTACATGGCAAGATCACAATCAATGCATAGGCTAAAATGATCAAATAGCCTAAGTAGCTTATAGGCTGATCATGATTGAATAATAACCTATAAACCAACTAATTTCATACATGACTAACGAATGGGAACATAGAATGGTTAGAGAAACTCAGAGGATAATCAAATCATATAGGCTGCTGATTCACTATACAGTACTACTGTTGCTTTTACGTTTGAAAAGGCAATTTACAAAACTTGAGCATCCCGTTCATTCAGCATCTGTTGATCGCATTTGACGAGGAACGCGCACTGTGAATTAGGCTACACGTTTGATGTTGACCAATCGTGCATAACGATGTGCAAACGAAACCATGCTTTTTTTTTTCAAATCAAAGATGGTGGATAAATACTGTAATGACCTGACTAGATCATAAAAGAACAACTGTCCAGACAGAGGATTGAGTTTACGAATGGACGGTTTATTAAACCAACTTTACACAGGCTACTGTTTGGCCGTAGCCCACGCCAAATAAATGAAAGATAACCCACAAGCCAATCGTGACCTTCTCTTGTGAAGCCCAGACGTAAAGAGAGAGAACAAAGGCTAAACCTGGTCTTAACTTCCAATGCTCCATCCCCCTGCCCAACCCCCCTCCACGCCACTCCGCCAACCGCCAGGATGCCCGGCATTAGAACATTCCAGGCATTCCCGTGATTGGCAGATAGCAGGTTGATTGACATGTCGGACCCCGCGAACACTGGGTACTGGTAGGTACAACACAACCATCTACTAGCCTAACACATAACACACAGCTGTCTGTGCGGGTCGCTACAATACGATAGTTTACTCGGGCTGTTTACCATTCAAAGAAATTGTCAAGGTTCCTGTCTGTGTAAGTGGGCGTTTCCTCTCTTAAACGAGCATGCTTTTCCCGCGTGAGCTGGTTCCTCCATAATATCTGGCACGCTCATGCGAGATAGGGAATGGCTGGCTCTGGTCTACTTATTGTCAGCTCCTACTCGCCCTACATGCCCCGCCCTGAGCAAATTTGTTTAGCCAGTGAGATAGAAATAGGCCTACTTTAAGAAAACGGTGTAAATTTGACCTAGAAACCACGCCTACGAGCCAGTTCACAGCGGAGGTGAGCAGAGAGCAGGTTGACGAAACAAAAAGACAAACACTTCTAAATTAATGACATGATTAAGCTACCAGACTCTGGCGTTCGTTCTTTTACATGAACTATCATCGCATTTGCGTACTAGAATAGAGTAGTACAGTATTTCTAGGATTTAGGCACATGAGGCAAAACAAATTGTAGGGTGCGGAAACAAATTGCCATTTTATAAATGTATTTCATGCAATTCTACATATAGTCCTAAAAAAAAAACTTCCCCAGTGACATCGACTCACCCAATGATGAAAATATTGAATAGCGGTGATGCATGGCCGATGCACTCGTGCCAATAGTCGTGTCAAATCAAATCAAATTGTATTGGTCAAATACACATATTTAGCAGATGTTATTGCGGGTGTAGCGAGATGCTTGCGTTCCTAGCTCCAACAGTGCAGTAGTATGTAACAATTCACAACAATACACACACATCTAAAAGTAAAATAATGGAATTAAGAAATATATAAATATTAGGATGAGCAATGACGGAGTGGTATTGACTAAAATACAGTAGAATATAATACAGTATATACATATGAGATGAGTAAAGCAGTATGTAAACATTATTAAAGTGACTAGTGTTCCAATATCATAACCTTAGACAAATGTGTTGCCATTACACATTATCATTATTTTCTATTTAGAATAGAGACAAACTTGCACAAAACATATTTTAGAGGTGTTTGAAGTCAACCTGTGGGAGAGAACCGGCCATTGCTGCCCCTTTCTGGTACTGTAAAAAAAAAAAAAAAAATTTATTGATATTATAGGAGAATATGCTGTATTGGGCCATTAGTGGTTGCTTTTTGCTCTGTGGCCCACCTAAAGCCTTTTTACATTTCTTGACCAACTAAAATGAATGAAACTATGTTTTTCTGTTGATGCAATCCAGTCTGAATATAACCCAATAGGAATATGCTGCGAGTGCATCTTGCTAGTGGGTCCAGATCCATGGTTTGGGAAACACTGGCCTGGGCCCGTATCCACAAAGCGTCTCAGAGTAGGAGTGCTGATTTAGGATCAGGTCCCCATCTGTCCATATAGTCTTATTCATTATGATCTAAAAGGCGAAACGGATCCTAGATCGGCTTTCATACTCTGAGAGGCTTTGTGGATACGGGCCCTGGTCTATAGACTCTCCCGTCTAGCTCTATAAAGACTTCAAATTAATGAACTGCTGTGAGATTTTACCCGGTTTTAGATGAACTTGTAGTTTCCTAGTACAGACACTGGAGGGCAGTAAAATACAAGTAATGTTTTATCATTGATGTCTGCAGATGGCGTGAGGTAGCATGAAACCAGTCACAGCACTGTTATGGAATTCCCAAGATTAAGATCTGAATAGGAAGCCACTATAATAAGTCTCAGTTGTCTGGACAGGTATGTCTCAGACTCACAGACATTCTTATAAGCTGTTTTTACCCATTAAATAGTGTCACTGTGTTGGGAACCAATTATTGTCTTATTTTATGTAATGGTTAGGGACCAATAGTTTTATTTTCTGCAAAATCCCCCTTGTAGATAAGCATGGCTTTGTCATTTGAGAGGATTTCAGTGGAATGGGAAAGCAGTGCTCTATATAGCAGCAGCATGA